TTGGGTTAAGTGTTCACTTTAGAACTGTTTGCCAAGTTTGTTTTCCTTTGGTAGAGATCTTTCCTCCAACTTTCTTTACATTTCAGTGAAGTGGGGAGTATAACAAGTTTAATGCCCTCTCATTTTGAAATCTTCTTTAGCTGTGGTGGAAAAACTTTCCTTTCCTTCTTTCCTTTCCTTTCCCTTTCCCATCCTCTCTCCTTTCCCTTTTCCTTTCTTCTCTCCTCTCCTTTCCCTTCCTCTCCTCCCTCTTCTTTTCCTTTCCCTTTCCTCTCCTCTCTCCTTTTCCTTTCCTCTCCTCTCTCCTTTCCCTTTTCCTCTCCTCTCTCCTCTCCTTCCCCTTCCCCTCTCCTCTTCTTTCCCTTTCCCTTTTCCTCTCCTCTCTCCTTTCCCTTTCCTCTCCTCTCTCCTTTCCCTTTCCCTTTCCCTCTCCTCTCTCCTCTCCTTCCCCTTCCCCTCTCCTCTCTCCTTTCCCTTTCCCTTTTCCTCTCCTCTCTCCTTTCCCTTTCCCTCTCCTCTCTCCTTTTCCTTTTCCTCTTCTCTCCTTCTCAAAGAAAGACAATCATCCAAGTTCTATCCGCCTGGGCTCTGCTTGACCCATCTCTGCTTTGACTCTCAAGTTTGAAGGAGAAAAATTGCAGTTGCCAAGTTAGCCCTTTGATACAATTTCTTTAATATATGGTACATCAATGCTATCCACAGATAGATGGCTCTACCAGCTTGCCCCACATTAGATCTTTACCAAGGTAGGTGTTTTTATTGCAGGAATCAATGAAGAAAAGGGAGAAAACCTGTTGCTGCTCCTTGATTAACGAGCAGCTATATGGGAGTCAATCGGGAATGAATGCAGGGGAAGTTTGAAAAGCTGTACCCACACAATCATATCCCGACTCTTTTATGTGGACAGTGTGATACACATAAAAAGGGCCAGGGCTGCAATCCTATGGTCATGGCTGTATTTTGACTTTTTAAATCTCCTTTTACCCACCCCCTTGCAAACCCCTTGCCGTCTTACCTGATTTCCAGCTCTGTCTCTCTAACCCTAACCAGAGGAAATTGCGGGGACCAGCTGTGCATGCATTTAAATATTTTCAGGAGGGGCTTATTTGTGGGGGGTGGGGGGCTTATTTAGCGCATGCGCTCAAAAGCCCAATTGAGCTTATTAACAGGGGATATCTTTTTTTCGGGGAAACACGGTATATCAGAACTGAAAGAAAACATTGTCCTGCAACATTCCACAGCCCTTTCTGCAATAATTCTCCTTCTACCTTTGAAACTATTCCGACACTGAACACATAGCATGGAAGAGAACAGAAAATGCACTCAGTACCCTGTTTCCCCCAAAATAAGACATCCCCTGATAATCGGGCTTTTGAGCGCATGGCAATAAGGCCAAGCGCTTATTTCAGGGTTCAAAAAAATATAAGACATTTCACATTTGGTATTGCCAATCAGTACGGGTTTTGTGTCTGGGAAGAGCCTTCCTTCATTGAACTTGCTTGCTTTACATAGGTAGTCCTCACCTTAAGACCACAATTGAGCCCCAAATTTCCATTGCCAATCAAGACAATTGTTAAGTGACTCTTGCCCCATTTTACCCATTTCACTGCAGTTGGGAAGTGTATCTGGCTTCCCCGTTGACTTCCCTTGTCAGAAGTTCACCAAAGGTGATCACATGATCCCCGGGGACACTGCCACCATCATAAATACATGACAGTTATCAAACATCTGAATTTTGATCACATTTGATCATGGAGATGCTGTAATGGTCGTTAAGTGAGAAAACTGGTCACAAGTCACTTTTTTCAGTGCTGTTTTAACTTCAAACGGTCACTAAATGGATAGTGCTAAATCAAGGACTATCTGTATTAGGCTTCTGCTAGAATTTGTCAAGCAGGAGAAAGGAGGGAAAGACAGGAGGAAAGTCAGAGACAGAGAAAGTACTAGACTGGGAATCTCTGTAGAAGAAGAGAGCCAGTGTGGCAGTGGGCTTAAGGTCTTGGACCAGGTTCTCATCTACCTTCAGCCACAAAAACTTCCTGGATGATTTTGGGCAAGTCTTCTTTCTTCACTCCAACCAGGGGTGGGCTTCAAAAATTTTAGCAAGGGGTTCTCTGCCAAGTTGCTGAGTGGGCGTGGCCATGGTGGGTGTGGTCTAGTCACCCTCCAGCACCACAGTGGGCGGGGGCGGGAAGTTGTTTTTGCCCTCCCCAGATTCCGGAGGCTTTTCTCAAGCCTCTGGGAGTGCGAAAATGGCCTCCCCAGTCTCCAGAGGCTCTCTGGAGGCCGGAAACATTTCCGGCCTTCCCGAACTTCCAGTAGGCCTGTTTTTTGCCCTTCCTGAGCCTCCGCATGTGCCTTGCACTTACCTGGATCCAAAATGGGCCACGTGGGGACTCCTGGGAGGAGTGGGCAGGGCGGGATGGGGCCAGCCAGGAGTGGGATTTGGGGGCTCTCCGAACGGCACAGAATCTTAGCTAGAGGTTCTCCCGAACACCTGCGAACCTCCAGCAGCCCACCCCTGACTCCAACCTACCTCACAGGACTGAAGTTATGGAGCAAAATGGGATGAAGGAACACAGCACAGGCTGCTTTGTGTTCCTGACCAAAATGTAGGATAGGAATGTAATAACAGCTAGCATTATTTAGTGTTTTGTGACAAGGAGGCCTTGCAGTTTGCAACTTAATAAATCATGGAAGGAGGCCCGATGGCAGAAATGAATTCTCAGTGTTGGATTTGCTTAGAGACAGCTCACTCTGCAGGATCACCTGTCTGTAGAGTCAGCCTAAAGGTCAGTCTGCAGTTAGCTTACTGTAAACATGACTTTTTTAAAAAATTGCAAACAAAATGTATAACCAAAGGATTCACTCCACATAATTGCATAGAAATGTGAAATTCTATATCCTAAAAAAAGGTTGAGAGCTCCCACCCTCTTGGGCCCAGCTGTCTATCTTCCCTCACAGATATTCAACATTGTGAAAATAGCCAGCTGTGCCTCTTTGAAAACACAGTAGGGGCTGATGTATATTGACTTTGGACCTGTTGCACTGGTCTACAGATCTGTTCTGAAGGGTTCCCAGTGTGAGGGAAATGAAGGAAAGACTGTGATGATGGCTGGAATTAATATTAGTTCCCTACTTAACACAAGGGGATCTTTTAAATACCAGAGCTTAACCTGATCAGGTTGTTCTGTGGTCTGTGTACTATCTCAGTGATACTTTTAGTCCCAAATATTCAGTATTCAATTCAAATCCCAAAGAAAGATTAGCATAGATGTTAAATAAGAGATTAAGTGTTAAAATGTGAAAATCATTTTATTTGCCTTCTAGTTTCAATCTTTTTCAGGGAACAGCATGTTGTTCCATTTTCCCTTCGCTCCACAGCAAGAAGGAAAATCAATCCTAATAACCAGAAAAATGTGTCAGCATTGAAACCCCTTCCTCCTTAGCATTACCAGGAAATACTGTAGCACTGAAACTGTATAGAAGAAATACTGTACCACAGAGACTATATTTTACACATCCCTGTTTTCTGTTAATAGTCACTGGTGCTGGAAAAAGGGTTCTTCTGAGAGATAATTGCACTGTGAGTGGATTCTGCCAGTATAAAATGTTTCAAACCAATTTATGAAACCTCATTGTATTTCCCAGAGACTAAATCATGGTACTTGGCTACATGTATCTCTCGGCAGTTTAACTGCTTAGAGGCCCTTTGGGTCAGAGATAACCATAGTCTCTGTGTTCTTCTAAATCCCAGTATAAGGAGGATAAAATTATCATCATATTACTTATTGTAAGTGAATGGCAGAACATCTGCAGCTATTCCCTGATTGCATCAAAAGGATTTGGGGTGCGTGTGAGGAGGGTAGGGTGTGACTTTTGAAGTTTGTAAGATGGGTTAGTCCCACCAAGCACTTCTGTGCATTAAATGTTGGTAGCCTTGGTAGGAGCCTTGGTAGTACAGTGGTCTAAAATACCCTGTTATTAAGACCAGCTGCCTGCAATTACTGCAGGTTCGAATCTCGCCAGCTCAAGGTTGACTCAACCTTCCATCCTTTCTAAGGTAGGTAAATTGAGGACCCAGTTGTGGGGGCAATAAGCTGACTTTGTATAAATATACAAAAAGGATGAAGGCTATTGCTTAGCGCATTGTAAGCCGCCCTGAGTCTCCGGAGAAGGGCAGCATATAAATCAAATTTAAAAAAAAATGTTATTAAATTGAACGTTGGTATTAGGATGCTAATTAAAATGAGGTTTTGTATTCTGGATTACGTTTATGATACATGTATTTACCCCAAAGGTATTCAGTGTCCTGTTATCTAAGAGAGACAATAAAGTTAGAGAGGAGAAATAAACGAAGCACAAAGGTAGCAGAGGCAGGAACAGGCATCAGGTAGAATTGTCTTTTGGCATCAGCAAAGAACAGAGAAGGTGAGCATGTCACATTGGAGGCTCTGGATGCAGAGAAGACAGAGGAGAAAACACCTTTCAGAGCAAAGAAGCCAAAAAGAAAAAAAAATAAGGCAAAGAAGGAGCCCGAGATTGGATGTTCATAGAGTTTCTGGGCATGAGGAAAAAAAGAAAGCACATCTTCCTGCTTCAGTCAAGCTTCTGCTAATAATCTTCTAAGACTCCTATGCTTGGACTATTTTTATATTCTTTTGTGGGCTAAATTCACACACTGCTGAACAATTCCACTTGCACAAGTTCTATCAGGACTGGCTTAGCCGAGATATGCTGGCATTAGGCTAAATTGGGTTTAAAAAAAAAAAAAAAGCCTGCTCAGTTTTGTTAGTGGAACAATGTAACTTAGCCTACTATGGTTTGAGAGGTGGCACTTTTATGCAAGATCTAATTGCACTCACAACCCATTAAGCTGTCTTCATTTTGCTTTTTTTTTTCTTTGCACACCACCAATCAGAAGCTAACAACGATGTAGGCCTGAACCCTTGCACACTCTTTAAAATCTATTACTTATAGTAAAAAGAAGGTTTCCACACCTGAGGCTCAATCCCTGCATTCTTGGTGGAGTAAGATGGTCTTGGAGCTTGGAATACTCCTTTAGCTCTTGGAGACAAAATTTTAGAAGAGTATTCAAAAGATGCTTCTGGTGATATTTCAGCATTTGCTCTGATCTTCTGTGATGGAAACACGTTTCCAGGTAACGGAGCAAAGAGGCCAGGCAATGTTCTGCTTGGGCTGGACTGGACAGGTGGGTACAACAGAGGAGAAGGTGCCAAGGGCGAAGTAGAGGAAGAAGCCTGTCTCACATAACCCCTTTCAGGGACTACAGATCTCATGGGCTCTTTGACTGGGGAACGAACAAACATGGGTGACTGAAGCTGGTAAGGCTGTTGCTTGGAGATTTCCAGCTCCTTTTTGGAGAGCTCGCTTTCTGTCAAATTGCTGTTGTAGAAAGATACAGGGGGACCTTTTGGAGATCTTGATGGACTTCTGAGTGCAGGTTGGAATGCCACAGGGGAGAGATGAGTTTCTGAAGTATACTTCCAGGATGGAGGAAGAGACATAGTAGGTGAAGGTGATCTTGTTATATCTGGATGTGACGGGGCTTCAATGACGTACTTCTGCATTCTTGATTGCCTCTTGGCAAACAGTTCTGCCCCCTTTCCTTTTGCCTCTGATAGGCTTTGGTTGGAGCTTATTTTAGGTTTAGGTTGTATTTTTGGTGATCTTAAACATGAAGACCACTCTGGTGGGGGATCTCCAAGGGACTGAGTGGGTCCACGCAATGATCTATCTTCAGTTAGAAAGTTAGAGGCATCTGCACCCAATGCAAATGATTCATCTTCAGGAAATGCTCCTCCTTGTCCTTTCTGTTTCTTTTTATTATCTGATGTCTGTACTAAATTCAAAAGATCTGGATTAGGACCCATTTTTGGCTTCTCAACAAAGGTGAACATGGACTTCTTAGGTGTTCTGCGGGCTGCAGATTCCTCCAGAATACCTGTTTTATCTGGAGGTGGTGCTTTGTCCTCTCTGAATTGAGGTCCTGGGCTGCTGTCTTTGGACCTGGTTTCAGGTGAAACCAGGATTTTCTGCTCTTGACCAGGATACAGTGCTGAGTAAGCTGGTGGTGACCTGACCCTAGTCACCGGAGGAGGGCTGGAAAATGCTTCTGCATAGGTGGGTGGTGGAGGAATCTCTGCCACTGGGCTCTTCTCTGCTGGTGAGAGGATTTTAGCTAGTGACTGAGTGCCAAAAGGTCTTGCAGTTCGGTTCTTCACTGGTTGGGGCTTAGACAAAGTCAGGCGCACTTCACAATATTGCCTATGATTTTGTGAGCTGGTTTCATTAGAACATACATCGGTGGCTTTTTCGGTGTCAGCAGTGGGAAAAATGTTCTCGATTTCAGTGACCAACTCATCCTGTTCCATGTAGGGCAGCTCTCCATTTTCCTTTCTGTTAATGACTGGTTCACTCGGTGTCTTGTTGAGGACAATATTATTCTCCCTATCAATGACAGCTGTGTACAGATCTTTGTCAGGGATATTGTTGTTTTTCTCCCTACCTATGGGTAGATACAGGTCTTTATCGAGAATATTATTTTCCTGATCCATATGCAGAAGATACAGTTCTTTTTCAAGAACGGTATCTTTTTTCTCAATGTTAGGGGTAGCCTCATCCTCAGTCTTAGCTGGGATGTTTTCTGTATTGCCCATAATTGGTCCTTGCTCAACCACAGACATTTTTCCAAACTCAGTGAGAGGTTCATGTATTCCGTTGGTTGAAGTTGTCCCTGTGTTTTCTTTAAGGTATACACTGAGTGGGATCTGCTGAAATTCTTCCTCTGGAATATCTTTAGAGGATGTTGGGTTTGTTGAATAAAGAATCGTCTCACTCTTTTCCTTATTCCACAGAAGGCCCTGTGCATTATCTAGGGGATGTTCCACACCCAGCTCCTCCTCGTATTTTTCCATGGTGACTTTTTGCCCCCAGCGTCCAAAACTATTGAGGCAGAATGAAGCGTTCAGCTCCTTGTTTGGTTTCGGAGTCTGCTTCAGATGTGATTCTTCCCCATGGCTCAGAGTGCAAGGGTGAGTGATAGCTTTGGGGTCTTTCTCCACAGCTCCTCGTTCTGGGTTGGTTGGCTTTGGGGCTCCTAAGGTGAATGCATTCACTCGCTGCTTGCGTCTGTGAAACAGCAGGACTCCTTTGGAATTGGAACTTGGTGGATTGGTCAACTGAGCAACAATTCTTTGGCTCCTCTCTTTTGCTTCCTTCAGCTCTGCTTCAGACAAGCTTGCACTTCTTGAGATATCTGAAGAAAAACAAACATACAGAGTACAAAGTTATACACAGATATGGAATCCCGGAAGTGCAGACCTTCCATCTATTTTTAAAGAAAGAACTCCAACATGATTCATTAACATGATTAATAGTTCCTCCTGTTTCAGTGGTGGGTTGCCCCTGGTTCAGACCGGTTCGCAAGAACTGGTAGTAAAACCAGTGGGAGGCTCCGCCCACCGACCCCATCATCCGGAAGCTTCTGCACATGTGCACGCGGCCCCGCTGCAAAGTGGTAGTAAAGGTAAGTAGAACCCGCCCCTGTCCTATTTGTGTGCTGCATTAGACTTTTTATTTGTAATTCATTCAAAACGCTGAACCATCTGAGAAGACAGAAAACATACCAATGAAATTGGTAGCCAGAGAACTTATGTTGAGATGCTAAACCAGTTGAAATCCTGCCAGTGTTTGCATGTTACTCTGTGATAAGTCACTGGTGCTGATGCTATCTCATCATATACAGGTTGTCCTCGACTTATGACCACAACTGAGCCCAACACTTCTGTTTTTAAGTGAGACATTTGTTAAGTGAGTTTTGCCCCATTTTATGATCTTTCTTGCCACAGTTGTTTAAGTGAATTGCTGCAGTTGATAAGTTAGTAACCGGATTGTTAAGTGAATCTGGCTTCCCCATTGACTTTGCTTGTCAGAAGGTTGCAAAAGGGGATCCCATGACCTTGAGACACAGCAATGGTCATAAGTATGAGACAGTTGCCAAGCAGCTGAATTTTGATCACATGATCATGGGGATGCTACAAAGGTTGTAACTGTGAAAAAGGTCATAAGTCACCTTTTTCTGTACCATTGTAACTTTGAACAGTCACTAAATGAACTGTTGTAAGTTGAGGACTACCTGTATGAATTACCTAGTTAGCAGCAAAACTAGTAATAAATAATATTAGCAGAAAAGCTATCCAGAAGTATTGTTTTGTATCCTTCAAAAAAACCAACCAGTTACAAGCAAACTGGTAGTGTCTTCATGCACTGTCTTTAAAGGTCCTTCACAATTGACTGTCTTCTAGATAGATTCAGGTCCAGAATTCCCCAAATATTCACCCTTGTGGGAAGCAGAATTTATAATGGGTAGTTATAATTCCAACACATCTGGAGTGTATTAATTCAGAAAGGTAATTTTAATTCAGAAGGAATTAAAGGTACCTTTGATTCAGAAAGAAAGCAGAGATAGATTGAATGAGAAGCCTGGTTTCCGTGGTCAACCAGAATTTAATGTGGAGTTTTGTGTATCAAGAAGCATGAAAGAAATTAAATCGCCCTCAGTTTCGTTAACAAGCTTTAGATAGGCTTTCCCATGGTCTCTGTCTTATTTACAGTATTTACTATTTCAGAGAAATGGACTGAATAAATAGATATACTTGAAGTTTAGGCCTTCTATAAATTTAATAAAAACTGATCAATGAACATTTCTCTCTTACCCCTCCTACCTAAATGTCGATTTATATTTTTAGCATGGTATATTACATATTGAAAGCTTTTACAAATCATAAGGATAATCTAAATAAAAATGCACTGTATCTCTGCTCAGTTTATTATAGAAGAACTAATACTAAACGGGCAACTGCAAACTTCCCTTTAATCTATAGACTTGGATTGGAGAATCCTTCAAACAGTGGAGTAAAATGGTCACCCTATTATTGATGCCAGTGTAATCCTTTCCCAAGCAGGTATCCTCCAGATATGTTGGATCTACAGATTTCATGACTGAATGGCAAAGCCTTCTTGGCTAAAGGTAGAGGAAGTTGATGCTCAAGACAGACAGAGATCACCTAGTGGAAGGGAACTGATGTAGGTTGGAAAGGAAATCATATTGCTCTCTTCCACCACCCTTTTAGTAAACAAAGGCCAAATTAGTATTAAAAACAGGACCAATAGAAATAAAAATGTTGATCATATAGTTGGGCACATCCAGTGGCGGTATTCATCTGCTTTGGAGCGGTTTGGGCAAACCGGTAGCGGTGATTGCGAGTGGGGGTCCCACCTGCCCCAGCATAATGCCATCCTATTTAGCCACATTTTCGAGGCCGGGCGTATGCACGGAAGCTGTGCGTGAGAGCAAAATACATGCACAGAAGACTGGGCACATGCATGAAAGCTGCACGCGCAGGGCGAACCAGTGGTAAGAATATATGAAACCCACCTCTGGGGACATCCCTACCCTTGGGTGAAGATGTGAATTGCTAACAACAGGAAGCAACAGAGTCAATACGGAATGAGAAAACAGGTAGCAATAACAGTGAAAAGAGGGCTAGCGCTCTGCTTTTCTCTCCTCCCTCCCATTTTCACAGGGATCAACGTAAAAGCAGGGTACTGCACATGTTTCACAGATTCCTGAAATATTTCATGACATAAAGCCTACTGACTGTAATTAGAACCATTATATAAACATATTTGTGTATGGCATGAATAAATTGCCTGAAATAAATTGCCTAAAATAAAACCAAAGTACATTAGTCTTCCTCACTTGAGAGTGTTTGTCATAATCAAAGCAAATTGACAGCAGTACGGAGCTGAGATACGAACCTGTATCAGTTTCTCAGCCTCAGCAATTTTAAAGATGTGTGAACTTGAGCTGCCAGAATTCCCCAGCCGACATGCTACATATCTATATCAATCTGCATCCCCACAGATTGTAAATTATACTGAACTGAAAGAATTTGCCACCTGTATGGCACCTTTTCAATTTGTCACCTGCACGGCACCTGATTTCATTTTCTACAACAATTTACATGGGCTTTAGTGCTCCAGTTCTAATGGAATGCGTATGCGGTTGCTGTTAAGGGTTTTATAACACTTTGCTTTAGAATAGAAAAAAAAAATTATAGACTTTCTACTCTTTTCTATACCTGTTTTTTGCAAACCAAATACAGAGAAATGTCACAAGAGGAGTTTGCAGCCTTCTTTGTACGCAGTTTTGCTTTGCAATTGTAAATGATTGCATGCAAAAGGAATTTATTGAAAGACTTCAAAGTTTCAAGTTGCAGTTCATTGGGTTTCAAACACCCTGTACAAACACGCTCTAAGCAGGAAGTTGGCCAGCTCTAAACTGTCTCACAGAACTCCCTCTGCAGAGGCCAAATGAAGTACAAAGTGCCAGGTTATCATAAAAAATAGGAAAATAAACCATTGACTCTACATTGCTAGAAGCTCACTTCTAATATGCACAGTGCTGATCTTAATAATTTTGCTTGAATTTAACACAAGATGGCAGCGGCTGAAAACAAATCTGGAAAGATTGGGGCCTTTTAATGTGCTTTCCTAGGCACTGATTGAAAACCAATTAGTCAAGCTACTTCCTAGAATAGAGTCTACTTAGCGTCTCATAAAACTGTGATGCTTAGGTCACTTGCCTGCTGCTCCTAAGCTACCTAAGGGAAGTGGGAAGTTGACAAGCTTTTCAAAAGATCTGTCCATGGGTCATGGCAAAAGTTGCTATTAACAAAGGATGTGAAAGGACACTGAATGCATTTTCTGTGGGTGAGCCATTTCCTATGAGCCATTATCCTAAAATGGCCATGGTTTAGCACCTCTGGCAAGAGGAAATATCAGAAACAAGGAATAGTTATAAAAAGCTTACCACCACACTGCCAACATTCTTGCTGGGAAGATGGCCTTCCAAGCACACAATTCCCTAAGTTCCTCGTTCTGATCTCAGTTTCCCAAATGGGTCAGGACCAGATCACCTCTTATTGTTTTTAAAAATCATTATTAAGAGTCCAATGAAGGTTCTTTCAACAAATCAAAAGGAGGCCTGTTCAGTTACTTTAACTAATCACCATAATTAGGAAATCCATGTTACAACCTGCCTTCTGAAGTGATACTTAATTAAATGATTCTTGGTTGTGGTTATGATAGTCCTAAACTTCAAGACTTAATAACAAGCCTTCTTAGCCAAACGATACTCCAACCTTTTCCTCATGCCTTCAGGTATCTGAGTACATCTTATGTTCAGTTTTCTACTTGGACATACTAGAACTATAAGATGAAAGAACCCAGGTGAGAAACCATGAAAGATGATTTAAAAATTAGTCACAAAAGATGATAAAAAAGAGAAAAGAATTCCGGAGGTGAAGAAGTAGGTGTGGTAGCAGAAGTAGGGTGAACAAAGAGGAATCAAAAATGAAGGAAAGGAAGCAGAGAAGGATCCTGGGAAGAAAGTCAGGTAAGTAGCAGCTCACCTATAGTTATTTTTATGAGTCATTAACAGCGTGCTGACCTTCCCCCCTCTTCCTGATTTTTTTCTGTACTGCAAGATAACCAGCAGCTGCAAAGAAAACATGGAGGAGTGTGCTAGGAGTCAAACTACTTCTTCTCCTTCTCCTTCTCCTTCTCCATCTTCTTCTTCATCATCATCTTCTTCTTCATCATCATGTTCTTCTTCATCATCATCATCATCATCATCATCATCATCATCATCATCATCATCATCATTCTTGCAGCTTTTTCTATCCCTAAAAAGGACTGGGTTCTTCTAAGTTTCCTTAGTGAGGAAAAGCTCATCTTTTCCCAAAATTAGAGCTCCAAAAACTGAAAGTGGTTGCCAAGTCCATTGTGTTCAGCCTTGGAAATATTTCTTCCTCATTTCAAGCCTTTCTGTGGCATCCCACACTCTCACTTTGGCCAGGCAAGGTGCTTCTTTCATAGGGAAAAGAAAGATGCAGCTACTGAGTGCAAACCAGAACAGAATTTCCAGGTGTTAATTCAGAATTCAATGTTTTTCATATGGACAGCTTGTTCTATTTGCTATAAAAGACAAACTTCTATGAAAGTATATTTTAGTAAGTGTCTGTAGAGATACTCAATCATCCAGGTGAGGAAACTCCAATTGCCTTTTAAAAAGCACCTTTGGGATATATTTTAGTAATAAGACCACTCTTCCAAAATGCTGTTGAATTGGATTAATATGGTAAAGGTACTGGTTAAATTTGGAGGGGGGGAGGTCATATTTGGCTAGAACAA